CGGCTCACTGCAACCTCTGCCTCCTGGGTTCAAGCGATTCTCCTGCCTCAGCCTCCTGCGTAGCTGGAATTACAGATGCACGCCACCATGCCTGGCTAATTTTTGTGTTTTTAGTTGAGACTGGGTTTCACCATGTTGGCCAGGCTGGTCTGGAACTCCTGACCTCAGGTGATCCACCCGCCTCGGCCTCCCAAAGTGCTGGGATTACAGGCGTGAGCCACTGCACCTGGCCAAAATTTTTTAAAGAAAAAAAACTGTTCGAAATTAAACTTACCCCTCCTTGCTTCATAGCTTTTACGTGGAATAGGAGTTTGAATTAACCAATGAAAACAGATCCATTACTACTCCCAGAGAATCCAATCCAAAAAGCAAATCTAAACAACTGGGCCTCTCTGTAGACTCTCCCTGGGCAGATGAACTGTTTACAGAGATGAAGGTAGAAGATAAAACCGTGGATACTATTCAAGAAGCGAGTGGAGCCAGCCAGGGAACACAGGCTCTGAAGCAGGAGGCATGAGGCATTCTCCTCCCAGCCTGATTCAAAAGGGCTTGGCGCTGTCTTCCTCAGCTGAAAGGTGCCGTCCTGAGTTGACAGTTAGAGCAACACTCCCTTGACCAGTGCCAGGTTCACACTGACAGAGGCCTCTCTTTTTAGGACTCTATGGAGACAATGCCCTTTTCTTGTTATGTGAAAAAAAACCTTTTTCTCTTATGAATTTTATTCAAGTTTGAAAAGATGCTTATACGTTATCTGCTGATCTTTATGACTTTCACCCTCAAAGGGGTAACATTACCCAGCAGTTTATGCCAGGGCTTCCTCAGCTTACCAATCAATGACAGTGTTGCCAACTTTGAGGCTCCCCCACAACTCCAGTTTGCAAATGTTTTTTACAGGCCTCCCTCCACTTCAATGTCTATACCAATTGCTGGCGAATCTGAATCTTTGCAAGAAGATAGAAAAGGTGGAGAGACTCTCAAAGTGCATCTTGGAATAGCAGGTATGGATGTGTGGCTTACTGGTTTTGTAATTTGTGAGAGACTACTTGATGCCCTAAAAATTCGCAAAGCCCTTCCAGATTTAAAATTGTGTGGATATTTGACTTGAAACAGGCCAATAAGAATCAGCAGTTTTAATTATGTAATTCTTGGTTGGTCCAGTGCTTTATTTAGTCTAAAGTATTGTGCTCTGACAGATTAAAAACTAGATGTTACAATGACACTCCGGTCATCACTGTATGCATCTACCCCCAACAAGTACAACAGAATACTACAGGATTTTTTCCATTTTTCCTATTCCATTACCCTGCAACTTCTGTAAAGCAACTTCTGCCTCTCAGGTGTTGCTCCTCTTCCATGAATCGTTTTCCCTCTGTCAGTGGTTCTCAAGCCCTAGTGTGCATCAGAGTCACCTGGAGGGCTTGTGAAAACACAGGTTGCTGGCGCAGCAGCCAGAGTGTTTGATTCAGTAGATCTGGCTTAGAGCCTGAAGTTTTGTATTACTAAGACATTCCCACAAGACCCTGATGCTGCTAGTCCCTGACCACACCTTGAGATGCACATTTCCAGGCACACTTCTGGCAGCAGTCAGAATCTGCTCCAGAAGTAAAAGCGTGGTGGGGAAAATGTCAAGGTCACAGGAGGAAAAGGACTTAGGAGCTTCCCTCTGTCTTCAGTATTACGGGAACAGGATGTATTGTTGGAAAGAAGGGAAAGAAAGATGAAGTGATATAATTAACCCTTTCACTACCTTTTAAAATATGCAAATATATGGTTTCTTATAAATAATGGTGACTCTGAAATGTCCTGTTTTGGGATCAGTGGATCTTTTGGGAACTTGTAACCATTCCATTAGCTCCTTCTCTTCAGCATGTAAATATTCTGAATTCTTTCTCATATTGAAAAAATAAAAACAAAAACTCCTTAGCCCTACATCCTTCTCTATCTACTGCTCTCCCTTAGGCTCCAGCAGGCTGGCACATGTGCTCACATGCTCTGTGTCTTTCCCCACCCTGCCCCAAATATATAGAGACCTCTCTCTCTCTCTCTCTCTCTCTCTCTCTGTCTGTGTGTGTATGTGTGTGTGTGTGTGTGTGTAGAGAGAGAGAGAGATCAGCAAGAGATGATATATGTACCACACATTTCTTATAGCCAAAACTTCTAGAAAGAATATACCATTTATTCCTGAACACAGTAGCCATCTGGCTTCCATTGTCTGCCCTCTCTTGATGCTATCCCCAGATACATGATTGTCAACTCCTGTGGATATTTGTTCTGGTCTCATCTGATGGCCAGTTATTCTTTCTTGACGCTTTCTCTTCCCTCGGCTCCTCTCTGACCTTTCCTTTTCTAGCTTCTTAGAGTCTTCTTCATCTTCCTCCGACTTCCCTTTACATATTGATGTTCCACAGGGTTTGGTCCCCTCACTTCCTTGAGCAATGCCATCTATACCCTTGACTTTATCTGTCACATAAATGTAAACGTGATTGTTTGATGTAAATGTGATCAAATGCTTTGGGGAAAGGTCCACTTCATACCAAATGTTACACTGAAATCCATCTGTTTCTCTTTCTCCCCAGCCAGACTCTTAAGTTTTTCATGATCAGGTCTTATTTATCTCTGTATCTCCAGCAGAAGGCCCGGGACACAGTAGATGTTGAGTGACTGTTGAATAGGCATCCTTAGGTGTCTAATTCCGCATATCTAGCACAAGTCTTCCTACCTTTTCCTCCTGTCTTTTCTACCTCAGTTTTCCTGACACAAACTTCTGCTTTGTTATTGAGTCCTGCTATTTGTACCTATGAAACATCTCTCACTCTCAGCCGGATTACTATGAAAACCTTCACTCATATGCCCCCCATTTATCCTGTTGCCAAAGTGTTCTTCCCAAAATATAGATCTGATCATATCACACCCTTCCTTGAAGCCACTGAACTGTTTCCTTCTTTAAACTCATAGAAAGTTCTTCATCAACAGGCATCTACTTATCTTTCTAGCCTCTTTTCCCTCAGTTGTTATACTACACTACCCTATATACCAACTTTACCAAACAATCTGCTTCCCTACAAACAAGGCATGCTCTTCCTGGTGCCTTTCCTTGCTCAGAAGTTCCCAAACATTGCTCAAGTCCTGGGGTTAACCTCCTCTGTGAGGTCTTTCCCCTATTACCAGTTTGTGTCAGATGCACTGTCCTTTGGCGCTCTTAACAGCTGCCTTTTGGTGCTTGTATTTTTGTACTTACCACATTGTATAAGTTTTGCTTCTACCTGTAAACTCTAAGCATGTATTTTGTCTTACTTATTTTGTACTTCCTATACCTTGTACAGTATTAGGCACCTGACTTGGTAACATATTAATAAATATTGATTGAATGAATAAATTTTGAAAACCAGAAGATATGTGGATGACTTAAGATCTGAGCCAAACCCAGAAGTAAAGAGCGGTGCATAACTCTTGATATGAACTAACTTTTTGAGTTCAGATTTTGCTGCATGTTTGGGTTTGGACCACTGTAGAGATGCTTGGGCCCCTTATACTCTGTCCAGAAATGAGAAACCTTTGCAGAAGGACCAGGTTACTCCAGTAGCTTCCTTGTTTTGCAGCATTTGTTAGTCCAACTGCATGCAGTATCATTTATAGAATGGTTGCTATAATAGCTATGTTACTCAGTTGCTTTCCTTCTGCTTCTATGTTAAAAACAGTTCTTGTTTCCAAATATGATTGTGCCCTAGGGAAAATGGTCACAGTTTTGCATTCTCTGGAAGAAGCCTGGTTCTGAAAATATATAATTGGCACCTGGAATATACACATGATCAGAAACTATTAGAAATGGCTTTGACACTGCCTTTTGTACATTTACTTTGAATCTGAATACTATAATCACTTTCTTAAGAACTTTTATTCTCAGTGCAACATCCCATGCTGTGTTGATTTAAGCCACAGACATTGCCCAAATTATAGCCTAGCACTAGCAACACTAACATTAAAGTAATAGAGTACTCTTTAGCTTGTTGTTGTGATGGATTTTTAAGGAAGCAGTATTTGCTTAGAAACCACACTAAAACCTACCAATTTTGTGAATATTTATAAGAATACATCAGGCTGGGCGCGGTGGCTCAAGCCTGCAATCCTAGCACTTTGGGAGGCCGAGACAGGCAGATCACAAGGTCAGGAGATCAAGATCATCCTGGTTAACACGGTGAAACCCCGTCTCTACTAAAAAATACAAAAAAACTAGCCAGGTGAGGTGGCGGGCGCCTGTAGTCCCAGCTACTCAGGAGGCTGAGGCAGGAGAATGGTGTAAACCCAGGAGGCGGAGCTTGCAGTGAGGTGAGATCCGGCCACTGCACTCCAGCCTGGGTGACAGAGCGAGACTCCGTCTCAAAAAAAAAAAAAAAAAAAAAAAAAAAATACATCAGAGTCGTTTTTATTGGAGAATACTGAACACTAAAACTATAGCAGTTTTAAGATAGAGTGCTGTTAAATGTTTTGAAAAACAGGAGTTTATTGCATGGACTGAACTAATAAGGACCGAAATAATTTTTTTAATGTTATGAAAAATGTAATACTAAGGTATTTAAATACTTTGTATTTCTTGCAATACAGTTATTTCCATTGTACTGACTTAAAAGGATATATCTTATTTTGTAGCTTACTGTTTTGATAATGAACTTGGCAGAGTTTATAAAGTCTGCAGATTAGAATACAAGTTGACCGTTAACTTTTTGGCAATAAGAATGACATCATGTTATGACATATTACAGATCTTTCAGCAAAGAGTGCCTCTGTTCCAGACGAACTTGGTGCCTGTGGACATTCTAGAACATCAAGCTATGCAAGCCAGCAGTCAAAAGTATCAGGTAGAGGCTAACAGTGAAGTTAAATTCCTTATTGTTCCAAAGGGACTTGAAACTGCTGTGGTGTGGGGGAAGGATGTCAGATTGCAGAGTGTTTGATATGAGTATGATATCCAAGGTGATTTTCTCTGACAGGGTATAGCACATGTCACTCCCGGTCATCTAGTTTCTCTGAGCTCTGCCACAGAAGAAATACCTCAGTGGGAAGCACATCAACAGGAGTTGAAAGTATTCTAGAGCCATGTGATGAAATCGAGCAGAAAATCACTGAGCCAAATCTTGATACAGCTGATAAAGAAGATACAGCTTCAGAAAAACTCAACAGGTATCCTTTTAGTTTAAAGAATAAATTTTAATTTTAAAAAAACTTTGTTTTCATAACATAATAAAAAGGAAAAAATGTAATTCTTTTCAAAGATGCCCAGTGAAACAAGATTCTGTAGAATCTCAGCTGAAGCGAGTTGATGACACCAGGGTGGATGCAGATGACATTGTGGAGAAAATATTACAAAGTCAAGACTTCAGCCTTGATTCCAGTGCTGAAGGTGTGTAGATAACTGTTAAGCATAGATTCCTGTAATCCAGGTTTTTGTAATCTGTGTAGTCAGCAGTAAAGAGGCTCAGAACATCATGATATGACTGTTGCATATTTGTATAGTAAATTTCATGCCCATAAAAATCTCAAGATAACTTTATAACTCATTTATTAATGAGAATGATTATTGAATTTAGAAAAAGAACACATTTTAGTTAAAAGTGATCAATTTTAAATAAAACATGTATTGTGTTTTTAATTATGCCCAGATGTCTACAATGTTTGTATACCTAATGATAGGTATCTACATCTGCTTTTGTTATAAGTGCTTTAAGCCACCGTTGTAATTTGGAGGTGGTCTTAGAACAATAGTGAATAATGGAATCCTTCATTCCCTCCTTAGAATTTTCACTGAAACTGAAAATTTGTATGCCACCAATTTGAAAGATATAATTACTCATGTTGATGTGAATAGAAAGCACTTAACAATGGACTTATTTTCATTATGTAGCTGGGTGTAAAGAGAAATAATTAAACCTTACTTATGGAAATTTGTAGGAAGAGCTATCTCCATTACTCAGCTAAAAGAAAAAGAGCTTTAGAAAAGTTGGTGAGCAATAACCTTTAGAGTATCTTTTAAATTGCCTATTTTAAAACATGTGTATGTAACTTTGGTTTTTAAGTTGTTTATTTCTTTAATAAACTGAATTGTAAAATATGGATTATTACAATATCAATACTATTTGACAATAGTCTAATAATTGTGCATGTAACAAACATTTTAAATGTGTATTGCAGAAGAAGGACTAAGGCTATTTGTGGGTCCTGGGGGAAGTACAACCTTTGGCAGTCATCATCTTCCAAATAGGTAAGTAGTACAAATAGTGTCTTATTAAAATATAGACTAATTTTTTTTTTAATCATGAGTAGAGGATGATGGTTGCAAAGTTTATATTAGGCTGAAGCTAGGAAACACAGCAGTAGTTACATAAGAAGAGTTACAGCTCTTAGCGTAGCTCTGTTTCCTTTATTCTGGATATGTTTGACATTATATTTTATAAATTAGTTTTTAATTTCCTTAGAAGTATTTTTAAAGTGTATTAGTCAAGGACCAGTAGACCATTGGGAAAGCTGCAATATAAAAGGACATTTAGAAAAGAGTTCTTAGTCTTTTAAAACATTAATTTTTTATTAATTTATTTTCTAGAGACAGTGCTGTTTCCCAGGCTGGAATGCAGTGGTGCAATCATAGATCACTGTAGCCTCAAACTCCTCAGCTCAAGTGATCCTCCTGCCTTAGCCTCTTGAGTAGCTGGGACCATAGGCATGCGCCACTGTACATCACTAGTCTGATATTTTAGGAAGAGCAAAGCAAAATTACATTCCCAGTCAATGGTGTTATCTTTTCTGAGCAGTTACACAGCCACTGAGCAACTTAAGCTGCTGTTAACCTTTCTTGTACTCTCCTTTTCTCCACCCCACTGCCATACATATTAAGAAAAGTTCTGAAAACCAAATACCGTTTTGCTAGTTATTCAGATGCAGATGAAGAAAAGTCACCTGCCAGACTTACCACTGATTATCAGCACTGCAGCAGGTAACAGTGAGCACAGACACCGAGGACAGTGTAGGAATTCTGATCACTCCCTTGCTCCTTACAGCCTGCTCCCCACACTTCTGTGCACCCCTAATTCCATTCCATGTCATATTTATGTAGAGTCCCTGCAAAACTACAGAGTGAGTCACAGTTTCAGTGGGGAGCCCCTTGGACCAAGACAGTTATTTTATTCTCTCATGCTCAAAACCTAAAAGAATTTTGCATTCATTTCTTTTACTAATACTCATTTTAATGAGTACCTCCTATTTGTCCAGCACATTACAAGGCTCAAAAATAGACTAACAGCAAAAACCTACATCAACAATTAACTACAATCAGATATTATAGGTAGGTAAGACAGAGACATATAAAACTACTTCCAGGGAGTAATGTGAAAAGGGATTTACAGAAGATGTAACACTATTTAGATCTTTAATTGACTCATCTGCTCATTAAATTCAGTAACTGTTTCTTGGGCCAATTTCTGGGTAAGAATGCAAGTAGAAAAGACCAAGCTCACCCTCTGCCGGCTTATGGTCTAGCACATGGGGCTGGCAGGCTATAGCTCATAGGCCAAATTGGCCCACTGCCTGTATTTATAAAGTTTCATTGGAACACAACTATGCCTGTTTATTTGTGTAGTGTTTATGGCTGCTTTGATGCATTACAGTAGCAGAGCTGAGTGGTGCCGCAGAGACTCTGTGGCCCACAAAGCCTACAATATTTACTGTCTGACTCTTTCTTACAGATGAGATGGACAAACTAAAAATCGTAACATTATAATAAATACTGTAATAGAGAAGTAGAGGGAAGTTTGAGAGAACAGAAACAGGACCTCAGAGTTCACACTTGAAGAGAGACTTTGGGAGAATAAAAAATAAGTGGGGTCTTATAAGGTGAATATGATGAATATGAATACTCCTGGTAATGGGAACAAATAGAATGAGTTTATAAGTACAGTTATTATTATATATAATTATAATAAACATATAGCAACTATAGGTAGCATTGAGCATTTGTTAGTTATATGCCAAGCACAGGTACATATATATTTTTTTATCCAATTCTTATATAGTATCTTTCAGTGCTCACAACATACTACAATTAGTTTGGTGGGTTTTTTTTAATGGAAACAAAGATACAAAGAAGTAATTTTAGGCTGGATGTGGTGGCTCACACCTGTAATCCCAGCACTTTGGGAGGCTGAGGCGGGTGGATCACTTGAGATCAGGAGTTCAAGACCAGCCTGGCCAACATGGCAAAATCCCGTCTCTACTAAAAATACAAAAACTAGCTGGGCGTGGTGGTGGGCACCTGTAATCCCAGCTACTTGGGAGGCTGAGGCAGGAGAATCACTTGAACCCAGGAGATGGAGGCTGCAGTGAGCCAAGATTGTACGACTGCACTCCAGCCTCTGCGACAGAATGAGACTGTCTCAAAAACAAAAAAAAAGAAGAAGAAGTAGTAATTTGCCCAAGGCCTTAAAACTAGTAAGTGGTAAAACCAAGATTAAAACTCATGTCTCTTTGAGTCCAAATCCCATTGTACTTAACCACTATATCTTACTATATCTTACCAAATCCCATTGTACTTAACACATTAATAGTATAACACAGTTCAGGTTCTTCTGAGGAGAGGGGGTTGTGAACAGGTATTTAAGGGCATGAGGATGGCAAGCATTTCTGGGCTAGGCTGTAAAGGGCCTCACTTGCCATAACAAAGTTTCTTCTTCTCATGTTCACAGTGGGGAGCCATTGGCTGTCCTTGCAGGGAAGTGACCTATCAGATTGGCATTTTAGAAAAATAACTGGCTATTATTTGAAGGGTAGATCAGAGCAAGGAGAGACCAGTAGCAGGAGGAACCAGGTAGAAAAGTAACATTTATAAGGACAGTGGTATGAAGGATGGAGAGAACATATGTTTTTGAGTTAGAGACTTGGGTTCACATCCTAGCCAGACCACTTATGGGGCCTGAGTAAATCACTTAACTTCAATAGAATTTTAGTTATCTCTGCTGAAAAGTAGGAATAACCATGCCTATCTCATGGAGTAATTTTAAAGGGCAAATGACATAATATACTCAGTAAACCCGGGCTTTATTAATTTAAGTAGAGGAACAGCAGAAAATATAGTTCCAACCAAATGGTATTTTTTTCTAAGAGATAGGGTCTCACCCTGTCACCAGGCTGGAGTGCAGTGATGCACTTTCGGCTCACTGCAGTCTTCAACCCCAGGCTCAGCCTGCTGAGTAGCTAGGACTACAGGCGGGTACCACTACGCTCAGCATTTTTTTTTTTTTTTTGTAGAGACAGAGTCTCGCTGTGTTGTCCAGGCTGGTCTCAAACTCCTGGCCTCAAGTGATCCTCCCACTACAGCCTCTCAAAGTGCTAGGATTACAGGCATGAGCTGTTGTGCCAAGCCTTCAACCAAGAGGAATTTAAATAGTAAATGATCCAAAGCATGGACTGTCTTATGAGACTGCCTGGGGTCAAGTCCTAGCTCTTCCACTATTGATTGATATTATTGACCTCTGTAAGTCTCCGTTTCCTTGCCTATAAAATGAGAGTGATAAATAAGATACTGAACTCATAGGATGTAACATTAAATTAGATGACTTATGTAAAGTTTTTTGGTTTTCATTTTTGAAAGACAGGGTCTCACTCTGTTGCCCAGGCTGGGGCACAGTGATGTGATTACAGTTCACTGCAGCCTCCAATTCCTGCACTCAAGTGATCCTCCTGCCTCAGCCTCCTGAGTAGCTAGGACTACAGGTGTGAGCCACCACGCCCAGCTTTTCTTTTTTAACTTTGTGTGGAGATGAGGTCTTGCTGTGTTGCCCAGGATACAGCCTGGCCCACTTGGGTTTTCTTACTGGGACCTGCATGCACCTGCCTGCTTGTCTTTAGGGACATTAGATTTTTTCTGACAAGAAGTCTGTCTGTATTTTTATTTTATTCTTCCGTATGTGATTTGTCTTTTATATATATCTGGCTGCTTTTAAGATTTTCTGTTTATTACTGGTTTTTAGCACTTTGGCTATGATGTGCCTTGGTATGTTTTTCCTTGTGTTTATTCTGCTTGGGGTTCATCAAGCTTTTCCATCTATGGGTTTACAGTTTTCATCAAATTTGGAATTCTCAAGCCATTGTTTTCCCCAACCCCTCCTTCTGTTATTCTGGTCTACAAATTCTAGTCCCCAGCCCCTCTGAGCTTTGACCTCTGACTCCTCCACTCAGAGAGACCAGCAGGCTGTATTTGGGGTCTTCCTCTCTGCACTGCAGGCTCGGAGGATCCTGAAGGAAACTGCTTCAGGCAGCTAGCTGGGGCGGTTGTTGGGCTCTCTTCATTTATTTCTTGTTTCTTGGGACCACAGTCCTGCACTGCCTGTTGTCTAGTATGTGCAAACTGTCATTTCACTCATTCTATCCAGTTTTCTAATTATATAAGGCAGGAGGGAAAGTCTGGTTCCTGTTACTTCATCATGGCCAGAGGCAGAACATTTTTAAAAGGGCATCTAAAAGCCAGTGTGCCGTGCTGCCCACCATGGTTTCTTCAAATTCTGATTTTCTGTAGGTATGAATGGGTGCTCACTGGCATTCTGTTGAGGAAGTTCCTATTTCTTCTGTAGAATGAATCTGTGAGAAAAGGAGTTTCTGGGCAGTCAACTGAGAAGTCCAGTCAAGTCCATGGTGGGCTAGTAATCACTGCTACCTTACTTCCATTGTTTAGAATTTCCTCTTAAAATGTCATTAAGGGAGACACTAGTCATGGTGGTTGCTTCTGGGCTTACTAAACTCAGGCACACTCAGGGTGAAATGACCAGTAGTAAGGTATACCCTGACATCTTGACAAATTGGGAAATGGGTACCTGGTGATAACTTTAGGCAGTAATGGGCCAGGCATGGTGGCTTATGCCTGTAATCCAGCACTTTGGAAGGCTGAGTTAGGAGGATTGCTTGAGCCCAGGAGTTCTGGTTGCAGTGAGCTTCAGTCACGCCACTGCACTTCCATCTGGGCAACAGAATGAAACACTGTCATGAAAACGCCACAATATTATGACAGCTGAAGACCATCATCATTAACTCAGTGGGAGTCCTGATGCACTGCCAGAGTCAACATATGCTCTTGGATGAGACCGATTTTAGAATGGATAGATAAACATGTTTGAGGAGCACTTCTTGCCACCGTTTGTTGATTGGTCAAGAATTGGGAAATTCTAATACATTATTTTGGGAATAAGTGCAAAAGAATCAGGATCTACACTAATCCAATGTATTAATTATAAACATTTAATATTTCACATAGTTTCTATCCATGATGCCTTTAAACCTTGTGGAAATCAAATCTAGTAGAAAAATACCTAATGCCCCATCTCTCCAGGGACAAGGTTACTTGAAACAGTTTCAAACACTACAGCTCAAAATTTTGAAGTTTTTTTCCTCTACTGTTTTAGGGTGGGGTCTGGAGCTTATGAACAAGTTGTGATCAAACGCTAGAAGTCAAGCCGGTGAAAACATTTCCCAGTGGATTTAAGATGTGAGTAGTTGATGTATCAAGGCATTTTATTCAAGCACTTAATAGAAAATGAATCTCAACTATCAAGAGGAAAGCCAATGCTGATTTCTTCTCTGGAAGGACCCACCACCATCCTGTACCAGCCACCAAAGGGGAACATCTGCATGGCAGTCTCCAGGCACCATGCTGCTGTGTGCCTTGGAAGCACCTGGCTTCTGTGGTCACTGCACATGATAATAAAAAGCCTGCTTTGTCTTTTAGAACACCCCAGTGGAGAAAACAGCATTATACACATCAGAATATCATTTTAGGATTCAAGTGTAAAAATCTGTGATCAAGGTGCTCAATAGATTTGGGCTCTATGGTTTGGTTTTTTAGTTTGAGAGACAGTACATGAATATAACTTAAACCCTATAGATTTGTCAAGATAGGCACAATTCCTGTTCTGGAAATCTTCCCTATTTCACTACCTACAGCATTGTATAAAGCGTGGGTGTTCATGCTTTGAGAAAATGTTAGACTACAATTGAAACATGTGATGTGCTTATTCATAATTCTCAATGTATCAGTCATAAATGAAATAACAAGTGCATTTCAGTCTGAGATATGTGAATGGATGTAATGCCGTTTTTATGCAGTATATATTGTTAATTGTCATTAATATTAGATGAGCTGCAGAATCACCCCCAAGCACTACATAAAAGGCTCAAAATAAGTTTAACACCCACTGTGTTGGGCACCCTAACAGAAGAGCTGTCTTAACTCACGGAATAGTAAGGTCTACTGGTTTCAGGAGTCAAAATGTAGAAAAAGAGGAGAATTGTAATATGGTCAGAAACAGAGAAGCCTTTTCCATGTAAATTCAGATTTATCTGAGGCTAACAGTTTTCCAAAGTGGTGGTGGGTAGCAGCATGACAGCTGCTTGCCGTGACTGATGCGGACTGGTAGGTTTCCATTTTAGTTCTCTGTAAGTACTATTTTCTTCTCCACTGTGTCAAAAGTTAGTTGTTTTGAGGCAAGAGTAGAATATAACATACATCAAATACAGCTTTTAAAATAAGAATACCTGGTCTGGATCCAGTTGAGCAGCACAGCAGATAAACCTTAGGGTTTTTCTGTCCTTACATGACAGTTTCCACGTGGAAAGATCTAAACTTTCTTGGAATCACTGTTAGTGAAGAAAAATGTAGAATCTGTATAACCAGTAATTCCCCAATTCTTACTTTCAAAGTCATATCCAGGAAAGACAATATGTCAGAATAGAATGACTTTGGTCTAGGTGTTTTCACGTTGGCAAAAATAAGGAGGAAATTATATTATTTTAATATCCAAATTTAAAGGTTTGGAAAATTTTGAATAGTTAATATTAGGACTTTTGTTGCTGTTTTTTATATTTCAAGAATTGGGTATTCTGCATTAATCCAATACTATATTAACCAAGAGATTCTGGAATTTTTTAAAAGATGATACCCTGTTTTATATTTTGAATGTAGAGAGACTCTGAGAGAGAGAATGTTCTGAGTTATTATACTTTTTATTTTTTAAGATTTATTTTTAAGGATAAAACAATGACCTGAACATTTTAGCCTAACCAAGGGAATTAAGTGGTAAAGACTTGCATTCTGTCTTCACGTGAACTGATCCATTCATTATATATTATGGGAAAAATCAAAGAAAGTTTTTTATAGAGATATGAAGATATTTAGAGAGATATTTATTATGACATTTTTTAGAAACATATTTTTCTATTTTCAAAATATTATTTCTAGGCTATATTTTTATTGGTGCTGTGCAGATGATTTTGCAGTTTTGAAAATGATAAAACTAGATTGTAAGTGGGGTTTAGTGAGAACATTCATCAGGCATGTAAGAGGTGCTGCAATCAGGGCGGTGCCCATCTTACTCATCCTTGGCTGCCCTTGGTCCCACACCTCTCTATACAAGACTGGTTCTCAGTATTTTAAATGGTACAGAATTCTTTTTAAAAAGTAGAGAGATTTTGAAAAGCATAAAAATCATGCCTTTATAATCTTAGCAGCCATCAGATACATCTTGATTTATGTAGTAGTAAATATAACAAATATTTTAATAAATAGAAACACTGATTAGGAAGAAAAAAGAACTAATGTCTGTGTCTTCTGTAGTCAGCAAAAGTCTGGATCCATTTTATTCCATTTTGTGTTCCATTGGCACACTTTGTATTCAAATTTCAGTGCAGTCCTTTCAAAACACTCGCTAAGGGTTGCCTAAGTGTCTGCCTTACGCTCTGATTTTCCTTTTCTGAGAGCATGGTTAAGAACATCTTAACCATGTAGCCATTGAAAAAATCTGTTTATTAAATAATAAGTCCACTTCTGTTTATGTTTTGAGTTTAGAAAATTTGGCTTGAAAATTTAGAGTATTAATAAATGTATTTTTAAATATTAAAGTCAAATTTCAAATCACCCAGTGTTGAAGAATTTGCAGATGTATACAATACTTTTTCTAATTATATCCTAGAGAAAAAGACTAATGGTATTTCAAAGCTGTGTATTTGTGATGAGATAAAGAAGAGTCTTAAATATCTTGTTTGGGAGAATGCACAGGCCAGTCAGGAGACCCACCTCCTGCGCCGTGAGCTGCTCACTGAGACCCAACAGGTCATGAAGGCTAGTAGAGGGCAGAGAAGGCCTTGGGCCATCAGTTTACACTCGAATGGTTGACTCCCCTTTGTGGTGTTTTTGAAGGCTGCTTATACCAACAGCTAATGTGGATTAGTGCTTATGATCTTGAAAAAGTCTTGACCAAGAGTCCTAAACTCCACCACTCCACCATCCCATTCCAGCTTAACACTATCAGAATAATATCCAAACTCTGGATTCTTTTTTCTTTTTCACTTTTTTTTTTTTTTTTTCCTTTTTTAAGAGAGACAGGGTCTTGCTCGGTCACCTAGGCTGGAGTGTAGTGGCGCAATCGTTGCTCACTACAGCCTCCAACTCCCAGGCTCAAATGATCCTCCCACCTCGGCCTCCCAAAGTGCTAGGATTACAGGCGTGAGCCACTGTGCCCAGCCTAGTTTCTTTTGTATATGCTTTTTCTACAAAACTGTGAGCCACAGAGGTTGACCACTTAGCCAATTGGTTGCTAGAAGGGAGAAAAAGAATCTCCAGCTAGCCTCCAGATAAAACATACTCAAATTCAAACAGCAGTTAGTTTTAATTAACATACAGAAGTAATTTTAGGCTTTCAGATTTCTATGCTGACTAGAACACTTTGCAAACTGGAGCTGACATTATTATCAAATACTTCATTTAAGTACATACTCCGAAGTGTCAGGCTTCCAGCATGTGTAGCAACACTCTGAGAGACAAACTGGGCTCATATGACGGGGTTGCATTTTATTTTCTTAACAGGTCTTTAAATTGGGCAGTTCTGAAATTCTGTTTGGTCACTTCTAGATGGTACGTCATGTGAATACAACCAAGTACTGTAGTTGAAATTTTGTTATACCACTACTCATATGTTGTTTTAGGTACTATGCATAATGTTAATAGCTGAGATGTTAAAGAATTTGAAGTCTAAAATATAAAAGATAAATATACCTATATTAATCCTATGTTAAGATGCTCTGGAAATAAAGGCCTTATTCCCTTACATATGCGATTTTTGTAAGATAATATATACACAGTGTATTTTAAACATTTGTGTGGGTGGTCCATGTAGTTACTTCCCATATGACAAAGCTGACAAAATTTTTAATTTACACAATGTATTCTGCATTTTCAAATGTTTATCTTATATATATAGCAAAGAAATTATCTTACTGATATGCATTGACCAAATCCCATGGAGAAAAGACATTTAGATACATCTCATTTGAGGCTCCCCTTCCTCTCATGTGTTTGATTTTTTGGAAGATGACACAAGGTGTGGGTAACCATGCAAATGTTTATGAATAACTTTATTGAAGTGATTCCATCAGTATTCTGTTCTAATACTTGGAGAATGATCTTCATATTTATGTATTTTATTTCTTTGTTTCAACTATACAGTGATAATCCAGGAAATGTTTCCTTTTTTTTTTTTTTTTTTTTTTTTACAAAAACTGATTTTTTATTTGTAAAATGTTTGTAATAATGTAAAGGTGAACATGTTCAATAAAAATCATATATTAAAAGTTTAGATGTTCTTTATCTTTTTAAATTTATCAGTTAAGATTCCATCAGAAAATTGTGCCAAGGTAAGAAAACAGAAATGAAAGGACCAAAATAACTTATCCCTGAGGGTTTCTTTATTTATTACCAGGGAGCATGGGACAGATTTGAACGCCCCCTGTGGCGGACTTCTCTTTGAACCCTGGGGCAGCCCATGCAGTGGCATGGACCTGGGCTTTGGGTGAGACAAACCTGAGTCTGAATACAAACTCCCCTCTGAACCTGGCCTCAAACTCCTGAGCTCAAGTGATCCTCCCACCTTGGCCTCCCAAAGTGCTAGGATTACAGGTGTGAGCCTATGCGCCTGGCCTGAACCTATTTTCTAATCCAGGATGGACATAACACCAACACTCTATTGGGTTGTAATGAAAGACATGGGCATTATTGTTAAGAGTATGCTACTTTCTAGGCACTCAGTGGTCCGTCAAGCCAAAATTTGCCTTTGTATAGCATCTGTACACATATACTCATTTCTAGTGTTGGACATACAGATGCTTATTAAATGTGCCACTATTAGTGTATACCCAAAAGAAAGGAAATAAGTATATTGAAGAGATATCTGCAATTTTATGTTTATTGCAGCACTATTCACAATACCCAAGGTTTGGAAGCAACCTAAGTGTCCATCAACACTTAGATGAATTCATAGAGAAAATGTGGTATATAAACGCAGTAGAGTACTATTCAGCAATAAAAAAGAATGAGATCCTGTCATTTGCAACAACATGGATGGAACTGGAGACCATTATGTTAAGTGAAATAGGCCAGGCACAGAAAGACAAACTTCACATGTTCTTACTTATTTGTGGGAACTAGAAATTAAAATAATTGAGCTCATGGAGATAGAGAGTAGAAGGATAGTTGCCAGAGGCTGGGAAGGGTAGTTGGGGGGTAGGGTGTGAGAGGTGGGCATGGTTAATGGGTACAAAA